TGCCTTGAATTCTTCAGGCTCAGCAGAGGCTCCGGGCTGTTGATCCATGAGGTCAGCGTACAAGGCCCTGGCCTTCTCGCACATCACAGCCTCAGTCACTGTGTCCCCTGCACACTGCTTCTCTTCCATCCAGATAACCAGGAGCTTCTCCACCTCCTTCAGGACAGCTGGCCGGTTCTTGGCGATCCTTGTGACACCCTTCGCTGCATCCGTGGCAAGGATCTTCTCCCTGTTCGCTACGATGGTGCCAATGGTTGATGCATTCCGGCCGTACTCCATGGCGATGTCCGCAATGCGTTTCCCTCCATCGTACTTTCTGATGATGTCTTTCTTCATCTCCAGGGTAAACTTCTCCCTGGTCAGCTTGCCAACTTGGGCAGAAGCAGGCTTCTTTGGACCCATGTCCGATGTTGCTACGTTAAAAGAAAAAAAACAGTCAGTGCTTTACATCTGCTTCACTTTCCCACACCTGGCCAAAACTGTGACAAACAAGTGGCAGTTTTGGCACACAAACCCAACTGCAACCTAAGGGGAAAAAACCACAGGAGAAGAAATTCAGAACTACCTCTTGATTTACCAGATGTTCTGGAAAAGGCCACGAAAGGCAGCAGCACACCACAAGAGGATGCCTGGCCAAAGAAAATTTCAGAAAAATTAGACTTAACATAACTGTACAGTACACCCCTCACCACAACCTAAGGGGGGGGGGAACCACAGGAAAAGAAAATCATACCTACCTCTTGATTTGCCAGATGTTCTGGAAAAATCCACTAAAGGCCACACCACACCACACCACAGAAAGGAATGCCTACAGTAAAAAAAATTCAAACTTGGCATCCGACTTTTGCATTCAAACCCCCACAACAGAAGCCAATGTACCCCCTAAGTTTCCCCTGCAGGCTACAAATTGTGAAACTCAGGTTTTATCTTGCGGATCCATATCCCAGATGCAGGCATGCACAAAACACCATGAAAAACCATTTCCAATGAGACTTTAGCAAGTTTCCACACAAACCACCACCACCACCCAGAAGCAGCATGGCAGGGAAAAAAAAATTAAATTCAGGTTTTAACTTGGCGATCCATATCCCAGATGCAGGCATGCACAACACACCATGAAAACCATTTCCAATGGGACTTTAGCAAGTTTCCACACAAACCCCCACCACCACCCAGGAGCAGCATAGCAGGAAAAAAATTTTAAATTCAGGTTTTAACTTGGGGGTCCATATCCCAGATGCAGGTGTGCACAGAACATCATGAAAAATAATTTCCAATGAGACTTTAGCAACTTTCCACACAAACCCCCACCACCATCCAGAAGCAGCTTGGCAGGAAAAAATAAATAAATTCAGGTTTTGACTTGGGGATCCATATCCCAGTTGCAGGCATGCACAAAACACCATGAAAAA